GTTTCGAGATGAGAACTTTTCTTATCATCGGGAAAAGGAACGACGGGACGGAACATTGCGTATCGTCGTCTCCAATTACAATCGGGCTGTGATTCTATCGCGATATCAACCCCGCGGCGAACGACAGAGACGTTTCCGACACCTGGCGACACCATTGTCCTCGCCCGACGACGCGACGCGGCGGGATGTCCCTCCTCCTCCTCCTCCTCCTCCTCCTCCTCCTCCTCGAGAGGAGAGGAGAAAGAGACGACTTATCTCGCGTCGCGAATCTCCGGAACAGACGTCCCTGTCGATTCGTTCTCGCGTTTAATGTATAGCCGAGACGCGGAGACGTTTCCGTGATAAAAAAAAACTCGATGAGGGCCCGTCTGACCGAGACACTTCCAGCATCTCGTGACGAGGAAGAAGTCGTGACAGAAGTGCATCCACCGCGGGAGAAAACACGAGTCAATCTTCTTACGGACGAGCCGGGAGAACTAATGATTTTTCTTTTCTCTCGCAGAGGTATATCGCAAATTGAAAGAGGATATTTAATTGTCTTTATTTGGCAATAACTCTGAGTAATACGAATAAATTTTTTTTAATTATTTCAAAAGATACTTAACCAAAATTACGAATATGTCTCGGAATAAGAAGAATCTTCCTTTTGGGATAAATTAATTATAAATAAAATTTTCATTTAAAGTTATTAAAAATGTCTACTTGTTTCAAGTTAATCCGAAAACCATTACTGACTCTAAGAAAATTTGAATACATGCTAAAGTTTTAAAATTGTTGTAATTGTTTTAATATGCCAAATTTGGTTGTATAGCTAAAACATATTTTTAACCAGATTTCTATGAAATTGAGAATCTCATGCCAGATAAATGAATGGTTAAATCGAAAACACATATAAAATACTATAGAATAATAAATCCAATAAACAAAAATACATTGAAAAATATATATTTGACTGATTGAATTAATTTGATTATACTGACATAATATTCAAATTATTTGATGAAAAATAAATGATCCATAATTTTGATTAAAATAAACAGACAAATTTGGCTATTTTGATTGATTATGATTGTCTGAATATCTGATTATAATTATCTGAAATTTTGTTTATTTCCAGCAAAACTTGCTAAATCAAACATATCTTGTTAATACAAACATGACATGTTTTTTCCCTATACAGATAACTAAAAAGCTAAGCAAGAGAAGAGTTATAACAGCATTGTTTGTGGCACAAAACAACAACAATCGCAGTATCAGATTTATTGAAAAATCTCAACAAAAATATGGTGGAAAGCAGAGATCGGTTAAAGCGAGAGACCGAGTTGGGAGTCGACTGCACGTCAAGAATTAATACCAAAAATATACTCAGCCCCTACAGCGTTTGAGGTAACTGAAGTCTCGCGATAGAATGGCGAGTTTCGCGAAGGGGAAAGGGCTTCGCTTTCGAAAGGGAAGGATTGTGCCACGTGGATCAGCGGTGGTTCGCGACAGGTCGATCGTTAGTCGGGGTATATGAACGATAAGCGCCATATAAATTACGGGGGAATAAACGCGGCAGGTGCGCGTGACTTCGAACGCTTCTCTTTCTCTCTCTCTCTC